AAACTGGTTCAACAATTTCCTGAACATGGGCACAATCATACCTGAAGGGAGTTTGCCAGAGGAATTGAGTGAGACCAGAACTGGATGTGGTGAAATATCATGGCTGCTGCCCACTGCCCCTGCCTCCTCCAAAGAACCCTGGGGATTGCTACTGGATGAGGTTTGGTGAGAAATTTCAAACGGGGATCACAGCAAGATTGGAAGAATCCGTTTTGGACAGGTACAAGATGAAATTATTGGAAAAATAAAACCAGTGTTAGTAGGAATGTGCTTCCTTGTAACTGATGGGCAACAAGTTGCCTGTTGGTTGGCCAGGCTAGGAAAAAATACTAAGGACCCCTTATTTGGGCATCTCTCATTCGTGGTCCCTTTCTTTTCTTTAATAATACCATGCAATAGCTGTTAATCCTGAGGCATTGTCACATTTGCTTGGAAGCATAGGGAAAACTGCTGCTCCTCACCCAGAATGGTACCTCTGGTTAAAAATCCCTTGTCTTCCTTCATATTTCCTGAGCAGAGCACACAACAGTAGTTGAGAAATGGAAAAGTTCCCCTTCCGCTTGGAAAGAAGGTATCTCAACAATTGGATTAATTTAGTTTTGCTGGCTGGTCTGGCCATCATCATTTGCAATGACTTCCACTTCTATTTCCTGCTTATTGCACTTTCACGATGTAACGAGTTCTGATTTGCCCACACTGTGTATTCTGCACACCATCTCACCATGCCAAAAATCCAAGTTGTCAAATTCATGGTCCCTTCATTGTTTTTGTTTCTAAAGATGGGTATAAGCACCTTATGAAACTATGTTGTGAACCTCCAAAGGCACTGAGATAGCCTAATAACTCCTAAAAATTACATCTAAGGGTTACTTCACGGCAGGATGGTTGGATGGAGTAAAGAAAGTATCTGGATATTTCCTCTTGGTTCTAAGTATTCAGCTTGGATGGGGCAGAATCTAAGCTTGTGATAGACCAGAAGACAAGGAGATCTCTAAATATTCTCAAAAATGACTTGGAAATACGGAATAATAAGAACTGGGAGAAGGAATGAGTGGCAGGAGATGGGAGAAATCAAGAGTTTATGAACAAAGTGTCAAAATCAACAAAAAACATGAAGACACCTGGTTGGAAGACTGAATGAATATATGTTTGTGAAGAGTGTTTCTATTTTCTTATTAAACTGATTATGGCCAAAAGAAAAATCCACCCAAAAGAGCCAGTGGAAAAAGCACAATCATAAGGGTTGGCTTATGTTTTAAGTCCTGCCTTAGCTATGAACCTTCTTGTGTACTGGAGGCCGACCATTCACAAGCTCAGCCTCACCGGACCTTGCAGGATAGGATGGGTGTGATGATGCTAATAATAGACCATCTCTCACTACTTCCCTGATTTCCTGAGGAGAAAAATGAGATACAGACATCATCTGAAAATGCTGGCTTCCTGCTTTTACAAAAATATACCAGGGTATGTTGTACATTAAGGAGAAGGCATAGGGGCTAGACACCAGGTATATATGGCTGTTCCTATGTGCCAGCCACTCTCCATTTTACACTAGCTATCTGGAGGAGGAGTGTAAATGTGAATTGGAAGCCCAAGTCAATACTACAGGGCGTAATGGAGCTGAAAGGAGAGATGAGAAAAAGAACACGCATCTTTTTTTGATGTATTGTGTCAACCACACAGAGCGATCTCATCGTGGGGAGAAAGCCAGGCTGATGTCTGACATAATCCAGGTTGAGCGTGATCAGAGCAAATCATGTGAAAGAGGGCATGGCCTTACACAGATGTCATAATCAAGGTCAAATGTTGCAAGACATTTAGGGCAAGAGATGGGGGCTGCAGGTGGAAGGCACAGAAGCAATCGAGAAAAACACAGCTTTGGGTGAGAATGTGTTGACAGGCAATGTGAAGCCACGGGTTGGCCAAGCCAATTCCAGAAGTTGGATTCCATTCAGAAGAAAATGACGTCTCACATACAGTAGATGCTCTGGTTCAAGTTCAAGTTCCAGGGACCTAATCCCCTAACCGTACAGGGCTCACATTTGAGTCAACTCAACATTGTGGCACATCCCAATTTGCCAACTATGAAGCAAGAGGGGCAAACTCCTCGCTCACTGCCGTATGGCTTTCTAACTGCCCCTTTTTCTACTTTTCTTCCAGAATTCTTCCATAGAGTGATGACCCTATGCTATTATAGAGCATTGCTCCTAGGGGTAAGGAATGAGAGCAGTGCCCTTTGGTGCCCTAGAAGCAGCACAGGAAAAGAGGACATCTCATATCTTTTCCTACCACCACCACCACCACCAGATTCAATTGCAAATCTGAAGGAAGAATTATGAGAATGTGCCTGGACTCACACCTTATTCAAAGCCGTGGCTTACTTAAACCCAGTTTGCTGCAAAAGCCACAGCTGGTACAAGAAGACTCTAAGTCAGAGACCACGGTTCACAAAGCATAATGACCAAACTTCCAGATTGCGCAAATCAAATAAACATCTCTATATGTCCTAGCCCGAGATTGAAAAGGAGAAGACGATGATTTGATGCAACAGTATGAGATGAAGAACAGAACTGCCTTGCCCATCCAAAGACATCCCTCCCCTCTGCCTGAAAGAAAGGAGGCACTGCAGAGATTACTCATTACTCTGAGAAAAGAAAGAATACTCTCTTTTTCCATCCATCCTCTTCCCTAAAAGTATCACTGGACCAGCGGATGCTTTGGACTTTACATATGACTCTCAAGAGAAACTGCCTACTTTTCTAACTCTAAAGTAAAACCTGTCTTCTGATCGAGACCATCTAAAACCCCAAAGTGGGTTCCGAGAATAACTGTTTCCTGTTCTACAAAAAAAGCATAATAAAATAAATAGTGCCCACCCACCCCCAATATCCTGAATCCCAGGATTCTGTGAGCCCTCTGCAATCATGCACTGGTGAGAAGGGGAATCACAGCCTTTGTAAGAGTGCGCATGCAAAAAAGACCATTTCTGAATTTCCCCAGTTCCCAAGAGATTTGATCAGGGAATTCACAGTTACTTAGGGATATAAACCACCCTCCCACCCAGGTTTGTTCTAGCTATCTAGCTAAATGTTGCTTCAAGAAGTGAGAAGAGAGAGACATTACACTGCTCCCTGGCTGTGGCTGTGTTTTCTTTTTAAAAAAGGGGAAGGAAAGAAAGAAAAAGGGGGGAAAAAACCCATCGCCGGCGATGAGTGCATTCTTCCAAGCCTCACCACTTTGGTAAGTCAAGGGTGAAGATAGGCGCAAGAGTTGAAGAACGAAGACAGAGGTATTCTTTCAAGGATACGCGGGCACATTTGTCCCCTGGTTGGAGGCGCTCAGTTTGTTTCCACACTCTGAATGTGTTGGATGGAAGCACAGCTTATAAAAGACATGTGCTGAGACAGATTTCTTCCTCTGTATCCATTTAGGCAGGCTGCCTCCTTTACGTGTCAATAATAATGACAACATTTTCCTCCAATACAGTAAGGAAATTCAAGGGCAGAGAAAACCAGCACACGAGGAAGAAAGGGATGTCCCAGACATGCTAATTTTCTACGTGCAAGGATTTTTATTTTTCACTATGGAGGTGCATTTGATTATGAGATAGTAACTGGAAACAGGTTGATTACCTCCAGGAGAACTAGTCCAAAATCAGTTGGGAGGCCAGGTTATCTTTCAGCTGTCCCTGATTTGTTTATTCCTCTCTCTGTCCTTCATCAAGGAAGTTTTTAAGGACAATTACAGAAGAGCTCTGAGGACTGGACCAAGAGGTATCTCATAAAGGTCCAGATCAAGTGTTTCGGAAGTTGTCTCAACTCAAACCCTTGTTCTGAATTTTCCAGAAGGGGTAGGAACATTCTGTGATGGACTATTTGAACATTTGGGTCACTGACTTCACCAGTGCTGGCCACCTGGCACCACCCTCGGCCAACCTTTCCTGAAAACATGCAGAACTCCGTCCCTCTCAGTGCAAAGGTGAGCATTTACTGCATGTGCCAAGTTTTTTTCCAAACCAGCCTAGCGTGAGTTAACATCTGTCTTCACCCTACAAGGATTGCATCCTCAACTTGGAAGTGGCTGAGTTATGGCTTTAACCAGCTAAGCTAACCTCCTGGTTAATTTCCCACAATAAATCAGTCATCACCAGAGGAAGCGTTTGGCTTGCAAGAACCTGAGAGCATGGGAGCGAGGTCCTGCCCCATGCCTCTTGATTCACGAACTGCAGCACGTGCTGAGGACCCACCAAACTGGTGGCCCAGTTGAACTTCACCCCTGCCTGCTCCACACTCAAATGGGGCTATCTCATTCCCAACCACGTGCTACTGTGTATGTGTGTATATATGCTTGTGTCTTGCGTGTCTGTTTTCCCTCAAACTGATCTGGAGTTCCCACCGCAAGCTGATGGCCGTAAGCATTGCAAAGAGTGTGCACAAGACAAAGACAGAGAGACAGATAGAGGAAGAGAGAGAGATTAAGAGTATGCCTCCATCAGGTTCAATTTGGGATCACTTTCCAAATGGATGTTCAATTCCTTCCTCCCTCCTCCTAAAAACATTTCTACTCCAAACCCTGCTTTTCAGCCTGGAGAGGACATTTGGCCAGTCAACTGGTTTTTTGGGAAAACTGAAGGGCAGATTTAAGCTCAGATGCACCCACTCCTGAACCAAATACAAAAAATCTGATCTCAGTTGATTTTAAGGGTCCTCTCTCGCTCTCCTTCTCTCGCTGTGCAGTTTTCAGCCCATCCACTCTTAGTTTTCTGAATGGAAACCTTCGGACAGCAAATTCCCCTATCCCAAAACACATGTCTAGAGTTTGTTTCCTTTTTGTTTTGTTTTTCTTGGGCTCAGTTCAGCTTCCTTAAATTTTGACCCAAACGCAGAGGTGGCGGCAGGGTTGCCGAAGTTCTCACTAACACTCATCTATGTTAAGGCTGATGAACTCCTGTATACATTTTCGGTACTGAAGCTCTGTAGGGCTATTGTTGGTATATTGACCTGGATGCCCAAAGGGGCCCTCGGCTTCACGCATCTCTTCGTTCATCCGAGCCAGACGCAGCCTGCAGGACGAGACCCGGAGGGAAATTTTAGTTAGCCAACGGAGTTCCTCCAGGAAACAGCGCTTGGTTCAAACATGGAAAAAATGGGCAGCTGGAGTTAAATCCTGCTACCTTCAGCACTAAGGAAGCAGCACAGTTGCTTAAGGTGGTGGTCTATCAAAGCTATGCCTTGATCTCTTTTTTTGGGCCATAAAGTTTTCATACACACTCAACTGGCCACATCCATCTCTAGACCTGGGTGTTCGGCTTCCAGGTCAGGACCAGCAACTTCGAGCCCCAACATGCAGTTCATCTCTGATGCAGCAAGGACCCACTTACAAGGTCACGATGTCCGCATTAGCGGCCTGGACTGCGATGCTGAGGGGGTCCTGCCCGTCCTCGTCAACTGCGTGCTGGTTGGCTCCTCTCTTTAGGAATAAGCAGACCTGGCTGCCAAATATTTAAAAAGAAGAGAGAGAAATTGGAGAGAAAAATTAGGTCAGCCAAGAATATCCTGTGGTGGAGAAGGACAATAATGCATTACACTAGACTTTCATAGGAAACTACTTTATGCTGGATAGCTTCCTCTATTCAGACTTCCTGCCTGCAAAGGATGGGCACTACTGTCTGGGTCAGAGACATCAGTAGTTGCCTCCAGCTAACCCAGGCCAATAGTTTTGTTCCCAACCTCATCATTCATGTCATGCTGGTGACATGCACCTGGGTCTCTTGCTAATGCCTTGAAAACCAGCTAGCTAGGATGCTGACATCTCCGGCTTTTGATCTGCCTTGCTCAGATGCTGCTCAGACCTTATAGAGAGAATAAGGAGCACAGAGCAATGACGGCTCCATGACGTGATGCTGCAGATGCACAGAGGAAAAGCTGACTTCTGCAAAGAGTGGTTGGCCTCCCCACGCCCCAGAATTTTGAATCAAAACCACCTTCTCTTTGTAACTGAAGGCACAGCAAGTGACTTACCCAGTGTGGCCCAAATATGTGGCATGATGCAAAGGTGCCCGCCCTCGGATATCTCTTTGGTTAACGTCTGCTCCGTTCTGGAGCAAAAATTCACAGGCTATTAGGGAGCCCTGCAGGAGGCAGAGAAAGAAAGGTTAGTTTTGGAGTCTTGGGCTTCTCTTACGTTACAGTCGAGCATTACTGCACAACAGCCTGAACAAGGCCTCAGCTAGAAACGCACACATACACTTTTCTAACCTGGCAATAGCTATCTTTTAGTCACACACTCTTGCTAGAGCACACAGATAAAGTGAGCAATTTTTTGGTGGCTGGGGGCTGTACTTCATAACTTTGAGGAAAGAGTCCATTATCCCTCCCCCTCCAAATTTTGGAAGATACTTGGGGTTCTTCTTCATTTGAGTAGAGCTTCAGGCCTAAAAATAGCAGGAAACTGTGAAATCTAGGTGGTGCTGATGAAGGCCACATATGGCCCATAGGCAGGTCAGTCCTGCTTTACCCTGATGGAGCAATCTCAAAGTTGGCACGGCAACATGTAGATACTGCTTACCCCCATGACAGCTTGGATCAGCGGGGTTTTGTTCTCATCTTCGTCATTCACCCAGTTGACACTGGCACCATGGGCCAGGGCCTCTGCCATTACTGGCAGGTTCCTGGCCCGTGAAGCCTTATACACTAGTAAACCAGGATGTAGCTCCCTCAGGTCTTCCAAGTCAGAGGCCTCTTGCTCAATTTCGACTTCCCCGCTGGATTCTTCGGATACTTCACACTCTGCAGGGAGGAGGAGAACAGAATGAGACCTCTGGAAGCATTGATTCAAAAGCTTGTGTCTCCCAGCAAGATAAAATGTCTTTGCTACTTGAGGTAGCCACTGATTAGCTAGCCACTGTGACCAACCACCACTGATCTTCCTATCCCTCTTCTCTGATCTCCACATGCTATTAAAGCCACTCAGCCTGGTGGCCGCTACTGTAGGATGTGGTGGTGAATTCTACAGCTGAAATCTGCACTGGGCAAAGGGGGAATTTCCTGCTGCCTCTTCTGTTGCTGTAGATCTCACCTTCTTCTGTGACACTATCAACCACCGAGCCAAACACCAAGACGTCTGTGCTCCCGTCTGTGCTGCCCCCCAGTCCGCTGTCGCTGCTTAGACCTATGGGATCAAAGCAGGAACCAAGTAAACTTCAATGTATAGGTATCATGATCTACTGGTCCTTTCCTATGTTAGTTAGTTAATCTTCCTGCTCCTCTTCTCTTCTGGTTGCTCATCAAGTAGGGAAGTTCTGGCCTGCCAGGTCTCCACATTTGCCCCAAAGAGTCTCTACCCCTTTCCTGAAACATTTTCCTTTCCCACCAGTTCTTTCCTAATTCCCCCAGCCCCATATTTCATTTGAAATCCCTTGCCACTGGTGTGATTCTGTTTGTGGAAGGATTTCTAAATTGTATTAAAACTTGGGTGCCTGGTAGCTCCATAGAAAGGAACCAGGCAGTGAACATCCCTAATCAATGGTCCTCAGCAGAGAGAGGGAACCAGGGACACAATACAAATCAGTGCTGAGTTTGCCTTTTTAAATTAGTGAGGTACATCCAGTGCACGATGGACCAATGTCATTTCCTGACATTCCTCCCCCCCTCAAGATACCTCCTTAGTAATAGGAATGGGGGACCAATGAGTTAAGGGAGAGAGAAATCTGCCAGAGAAACTATGTTTGTCCCACAGGGCAAGTCTCAGCTCTCTGGGTAGGAGGCAGATGAGCAAGCTAAGAAAAGTCAGGGAGAGTGAACAATTAGGAGAGAAATACGTTGACTTTCAACTTGATTATAATTACAGTTCCATTTAAATTTAATCAAACTTAGTTTCTGCCCTGGTCTCACTCACTTCTTTAGACTGCACCTGCCCATTTTTGGGTGTGCAGGCATCTGACATGTTTCAAAGACCAGGCTTGGCTCTCAGCCAAAGTTGGATGCCCCTGATCCTGCTTCCACAATCAAAGCCAGGTACTTCTGGGAAGTTGGGCCATGGGGCCCCAGAGCTTGCTGCTGTGAGGCTGCCAGATGCACAATAAGATATTAGCTGTCCATGGAGGCCCTATATCTGGTGACAGAGCCAGGCGGCAACTGACTCAAGTAATATTCTACTGCCTTACCTCCATCCAGGAGAAATGGTGAACCACTCCCCCCAGGGCCATTGCTGGTCTCACTCCATGGACCGGCACCCACAGGCTGTTGGACGGATGCCTGGTTCCCACCTAGGAGGGAGGAGGACAGAACATGATGCTGCGCAGCGTACAGGAAAGTACTGCGATTTTTATTCTTTTTTAAAAATGCATCGCTGAGTACCAGATTTTGTTCTTCATAAAGGGAAAGAAGGGAGTTTTGGGAGGGAGAAAGAAAGTTAACAAACTGCTTAAGTTTGGAACAGAACAAGGGAGAAGGGAGGGAAAACCCACCACTGAACTTGAGAAGGTCCAGAAAAATTATGATCGGTGTTTCCTCCTTTGCCGCCTTTCTCTCTTAGGGCTGAGCATTGAGTTACAGCTGTGTGAGGGATTATGGATGAATCTACCATACTTACTGCGTGGTCCTGCTCCTGTATCAAAGTACGAGAAGAGGGAATCCAGTTCATCAGGACAGAAGAGGGAATCTCGCCGGAACTTCCTTTCCAAGGTGGCAGCTGTTTGAAAACTAAACTTTACTACTATTTTTCTAACGCAGACACACCCACACATGCCAACAGCTGTGTTTATAAAAATGCAAAGCCAGGATTTTTTAACCACGGTTTATTGGAGAAATCACAATGCTGGGGTGGCCCCTAATCATGACTTGTTACTGGCAAACCTCAGAGCACACCAAGCCCAATCCAAACCCCATTATATCATAGCACGATATGTGACCCACTTCAGCTTGTGTTTTAGGTGGCTGCAGCGGAACGACTTTGGCTAATTTCAAACCTGGTTAGTTCTTGGATGAGAGACCTCAAGGGAATCCCAGGGCTGGAGGCAAGGCTAGGAAATTTTAAAAACAGTGGGAAGCTGCTTCCGCTTCTGTATCGTTGCCAAGAAAGCTGCATAGTTGTGTTCATACAGTCGCCAAAGGTTGCCACACGATCATTACTTGCCAGCAAAAATGCAAGAACAGATTTCTAATCTTCATTGTGTAACTATATGTTTGGAAGGATTGAAGGCAGTTCCTGAAGTCAGGACGAACAAGGTACAGTACTTAAAAACGTACATGTGTGTCCCAGGAAATTTTATAAAATTAAATATGCTGAAACTGCACCTGACAAAACATTCAGCGTTACATTATTCTGAGCTCCACATACTTCAGGATGAAATAAATAACACCATTTCACATTTTTTCCCTCTCTAGTAATATCAGGAAAGCCCCACCGTGTCAACAAACCATCAAACTCTCCACCACACAAAGTAGCTGCCAGCTTGGGCATCCTGAGGTTGATATCCTACCTGAAGAGTGTGCTGCTGGGGACGCATTTCCTGCTTCGTGCCGATACTTCCTACGGGTAGTGGGTGCTTTCGTAGAGCTATTGCGCCTCTGGCACTTCTTCACACTCCAGCGGCGGGGTTTCTGTTCGTTCTCAGCCAGAGGTTCCCCAGAAGGTAGCTTCTTCAGAAACTTCTTCTCCACGTATTTGACTTTGATCCATGCTTCTTTGTCCTGCCTGAGAGGAAACAATTTCTCAAGTCCATCCTGTGTGTTGGCACACCAACATGCTAAACTCAGTTAATACGGACCACAGTTAGGATTTTTATCTCTCTTTGTGCACTGTGCATACATGGTTTGATACACTGTGCAAACCCAGAAAACAGTTAATCCATTAACCAGGTTATGTGTGTTGTCTAAACACAGCTACAGTATGTGCAAGAAAGGAAAGTTTATTTAAGTTACCAAATCACTTAAAATACTGATTTAGTCATAGACTGGGAGATAGGGTTCCTCTGCTAATTCATGGGGAAGCAGACATGGAGGAACCAAAACATCAGAGAGGGGTGGGCAGGGGGACACAGTAGAAGTTTTACCTCGAGCTCCCAGCAGTTGGCTTCTTAAGCCCCATTTCCTCACACTGCGCCTCGTAGATCTGATTCATGGTAGCATTGCCCAGCTCACACATCAGCTTTTGAAAAGCATGTGAAAAAATAGGAAAGCATGAGAAGGAAAGTTGCTTTTTTGGCCTCCCCATTTACACACAACACCCTGTTTCAAATCATATTGTGGGCCTTCTCAGTGGCAATGTCCTCGTTCTGGGATGTTCTCCCTAGAGAGGCCCACCTGGTGCTTCTTCAGTTCCAAGTTTCAGGATTGGAGCTCTTCCTGGCTCTCCCCAGCCCAAATCCAACCCTCTTCAATGCAGTACTGGTTCTTAACTACGTTTTTCTCCTCCCCAAAATTGCAAGGTTTAGAGCAGTGTTTTTCAAACTTGGCAACTTTAAGATGAGTGGACTTCAACTCCCAGACTTCAATTCCCAGCTGACTGGGGAATTCTGGGAGTTGAAGTCCATTCATCTTAAAGTTGCCAAGTTTGAAAAACACTGGTTTAGAGTCTTACTTTTTCGAAGTCAATGCAAAATAGAGTGTGGGAAACATGAACGTTTGCCTCCTTAAGTTTTAGCTTTTTCCTCCTCAAGAGATCCTGTGCCTAGTTGTTCTACTCAAGATGTGATTTGGACCCTATTTTTTCCTCTTTTGACCACATACTTTTTAGGTATTGGGGATTTGGTCTTTACCTTCAATAATTCTGGCTCCCAAGAATCCAAGGTGAGTGACCGCACTTTGGAGCAGTGAACTCCCAAACTCCTGTAGGGCAAGGGGAAGAGAAGTGGTCAGCTTCCACTCCTGCCAAGCCAAATCAAATTGCAACCAACTTTTCAACTGGTGCACATGTTCTGAGATAACTCTCTCATGTGGAGGGAGAACAGCCTCTGGTGCAAGTTGAAAAACTGGAGGTACTTTGACACTCTTAGCACCCAAGGAGGCACGCAGGAAATACCTGTGTATCCCTGAACATTCAATGCATAGTAAGATGCCCAAGTTGATGCTCGCCCACCGGGGATCAGCCTGCCCGCAGTCGCAACACTGGTCATTGCCCGAAATGCTCTGCACCCTCTGCAGGATGGTTTCCCCTTTCCCACTTCGGTCCCGGGAATCGGTGGCAGAATCTATACTGCTAGTTGAAGGAGAAGCAGTTCGATCCAATTTCTGGAGCAAGAAAAGAGCCCACAAGGGAAACGTCAGATGAAAAGGCGGCTTGCCAAGCGTCTCTCAGGGAGACCATTTTTCTTTGGCTTCTCGATTTCTCTTAATCCAGCCAAAAAATATTTTTGTACCATTTTAAAGGATAATCTCGAAGCTGATTTGATACAAATGCCTCCTGTGGCTATGAAAAAAAAGGATGCCCTATATCCATTTTCTAGTTTCTATGATCAATTTATGAGTATGTTCCTCATGCCCATGAGGGGCTCTGTCCTACATCCTTCTGGCTGACCGCTCTACTCACTTCTATGTAGCAGCTATCAGGGCTTTCTCGATAAGCGGAAGCTATGCTGGCTTGGACAGCCTGGATCCACGCCTGGCGCAGTTTCTCTGAATCGGCTTGTAACATACAACTCCTGCAAAGGGAAAAAGGGAAGAGTTGCTTACCAGGAGAAACAGAATCAGGGTCTGGTCCAAAGAGGTCCTCCTGTTCTCAACCTTGTTTTACACCAGTAGATATTAATTTCCTCTTTGCTTATTACTTGTCGATTATGTCTGCTTGGAGTAACAGCCGCAAGGGCTTCTCAGTGTTGGAGGCAAACAATTTCACTTTGCTAAGCTCAGCAGTTCTTGATGGTTAATTCCAACATTTTGCCCTTCCAAACCTGGAATTTGTAGCAATGTGTGAATGTATCCAATTATGGCTCGGTCAACAAGTTGTGGTTAAACAAATCATGACTTACTGGAACGAACAAAGCCAGATAGAGTAAGGGAGAAGTCATTGGACTCCAAAGGCACCCTTCTATCAAACTGCCAGTTATATGTTTTCTTGTATGAGGACTAAACCAGAATCAGTGTAGGAAGAGGAACATCAGGCCTTTTTTTAAGCGAGAGACCTGGTTTCTTGTTTGGATGGAGAAATTGTTGTGAAGCAGAAAAAGCGAATGAATGAATGAATGAATGAATGGCCAAGAAAGCAGAAATTCTTTTTCTTTCCCATCCCTCTAAATATCTGAAGTGGTTGCTTTACCTTCCATCTAGTGGTAGAGATGGCTCAAGTAACTCAGCCTCCAAAGATAACCTGCCCACATGGCTCACTAAACTTGCTGCCTGTAACTTCCTTGTTTATTCTCTATCTCCCCTTCCCTTCTCCTTCCTCAGCCTCTTTTCAAGAGAGCTGCTGACATGAAGAAACAAATGACCCATTGATTTCTTTTCTCTTCTTTTAAGAAACACGCAACTTACTTGGTGGGAGAGACAACTTCGAAACAAAACCTCCGTTCTATGTCCTCGCAAGGCTTGACTGTGCAAAGTCGGAGGTCTTCCACCACCACTGTGAGTACATCCTAGAAGGGGAAGAACAAGACATTGGTGTAAGAATCTCTGCAACTGGTCTGCATACTCTTAGAGGGCAGTAGTGCACACTGAAGTAGTGTCCTTTTTTATATATTTTGTAATACA